CAGGATGAGCTTCAGTCACTTGCAGCCTTCTTCCGTCACCCGAAGGAACAGAAGAAAAGCAAGTCTGATGTCATCATGCTTCGGCCCCTGATCAACCGTACCAGGATCACTGGGCGCTTGGACTGTGGAGCCACCAGGAACTTCATGTCTCCCAGTGCACTTAAAAGGCTGCATCTGGGCATGAAAATTCAGCAGCCGCAGCAACCGCTGCTGGTGAGGATTGGTGACTCTATAGTACTCAGCATCAGGGAGAAGGTCAAGGGTATCCCTGTGACCTTCGATAGTGCTGGAGAAGTCAGACACAGTCTGAACTTCTACATCTTCCCTTAGCTACCCTTTGACTTGGTGTTCTCGATGCAGTGACCGAAGGCAGTCAACCCAATGATCGACTGACAGATCACAAAGGTTGAGTTACCTAATAGCCAGGGGGTGTATCAGCCCTGCATGATTGCTGCTGATCACCATCCTAAGATCTCTTGCTATTGCCTGAGAGCGAGTTTTACTCTCTCTCACGCCAGTATGACCATGAGCGTCTGTTCATAGCTCTGGTCAAACAGACTGACGCTCCCCCTATTTCCTGTCCTCGTGAGATACAGCAGGTGGTGGACAAGTATGCAGATCTGATGCAGGAGTCCTTTGGGTTACCCAGCTGACCAACCAAGCATCACATCGAGGTGCTGCGTGGAGCGGTCCCTCCCAAGGGCAACATCTACAGGATGTTCCCTACTGAGCTTGAGGAGATCAGAAAGCAGCTTGAAACCCTGAGCAGCAAGGGCTAGATCAGACCCATCACTTCTGAATTCGGTGCACCCGTTCTCTTTGTTCCCAAAGGGAATGGTGAGTTCAGAATGTGTATTGACTACAGGGGTCTCAATAAAATCACTAGGAAGAGTACAAAGCCTTTTCCTAGGATCGATGACCTTCTGGACATGGTGCAGGGCTGCACAGTGTTCAGCAAAGTCGTCCTCAAATCTGGCTACCACCAGACTGAGATGGCAGAGGAGGATGTCCACAAGACAACCTTCAAGACTAGGTATGACACTTATGAGTTCTTGGTCTGACTGGTCATGCCATTTGGACTTTGCAATGCCCCACGCACCTTCCAGACAGAGATGCACCGGATTTTCAGGCCTTACCTGGACAAGTTTATGGTTGTCTACCTGGATGATATCCTGGTATTAAGCAAAACTGCCAGGGAACATGCGGAGCACTTGGCTTTGGTCCTTCAGTCATTGCGCGACAACCAGTACAAGATCAACAGAGAGAAGTCCTCTTTTAGAGTTCCCTCTGTCATCTACCTGGGTCAAGTAATCTCTGGAGATGGCCTGGCTCCTTAAGCAGCCAAGATTGCTGCTATTCAGGAGTGACCTCAGCCACTGACAGTGAGGGATGTCAGGTTCTTCATGGGCTTAGCCTCGTACTACAGAAAGTTTGTCAGGAACTTTTCTGCAGTGGCTGCACCCCTGACCAACCTAACAAAGAAAGATACTCCCTTTCTTTAGTCCCTTCCCTAAAGGCCTTGACTCGTGCGCCTATGCTGAAGTTACCTGACCTCACTTTGCCATTCATCCTGACCACTGACGCTAGTCAGTATGACATTGGGGCAGTTCTTCAGCAGGATGATGGGAATGGTCTACGACCTGTAGAGTTTATGAGTAAGAGGATCAAGACTCAAAAGTTATAGGACTCTACCTACGAGAAAGAGCTATATGCTATTGTCTGTGCCCTGAAACATTGGAAACACTTTCTCCTGGGAAGACACTTCAAGATCTTTTCAGATCTGTCCACCCTGCAGTGGATGAAGTCCCAGGGAGAGTTGAACGACAAATTGGCACGGTACATCCAGTTCATAGACATGTTTGACTTTGAACTGAAGCATATGAAGGGCTGCTACAACAAGGTAGAAGATGCCCTCTCTCGTAGGCCCGACTCTTTTGCTCTGATCTCCTCTACTCACTCCTTTGGAGAGGAGACCCGTCAGACCATTGCTCGTCTACTGCCTCAGGATGAGACTTTCGGACCCATCGTCAGGAATCTGCAAGCAGATCCTAATTCTGAACCAGGCTACGCTCTAAGTTCAGACTTGCTGTACATTTACAGCAGAGGTGAGGAACGCTTGTGCATTCCCCAGGACCAGCAGCTCACGACACTGCTGATGTCAGAATGTCATGACACCCGTGGGCATTTTGGGATCCTAAAGCCCTATGCAGCCCTGTCGCAGCGCTTCTTCTGGAAGGAGATGCGAAGTGATATGCTGCGTTATGTGGACACCTGTGAGCTCTGCCAAAGGAATAAGGTCCAACGTAAACCTCCTTTGGGACTGCTCAAACCCCTATCCATACCTGATGGCCCTGCTGAATCTGTGGCGATAAATTTCACAGATTTAGGCAAGACCACCCCTCGTGGTATGTGTCAGGTTATGGTCTACGCGGACAGGTTCTTCAAATACGCATAGTTCATCCCCTTGCCAAAAGTAGCTCAGATTCCGGCTGTGAGAGCAGCCTTTTCTGAGAGGTGGGTCACTCACCATGGACCGCCCACTTCTATAGTCAGTGACAAAGATCCTAGATTTTGCAGCAATGAGTGACAGTCCTATTGTAAGGATTACCTGCACTCATGATTGGACATGACTTCTGGTCATCATCCTGAAGCCAATGGTCAGACTGAGGTGATGAACCAAGTCTTATTCCAATTGCTGCGTCCTGTCATCTCTCTAGATCAGTAGGACTGGGATCTTCACTTGGCCAGGGCACAGCTCATGTATAACATGTCTGTCCACTCCTCGACAGGGTTCAGTCCTTACCGGTTACACTGGGGACGCGAACCACGACAACCTCTCGATGACATCATCGATAAGGCTAAGCCTGATCTGACACCAGGCATAGCAGAGTTTACCATACGTTATCGTTTGGAAGTGGAAAGAGCGCGAGCGAGCTTGTTCAAAGCCCAAAAGGCTATGATTGAACAAGCTAATCGTCACAGGCAACCTTCCCCCATCCGCACTAGTGATCATGTCTGGGTGGCCAGTTCTGAGCTGTCGAGGGAGGAGGATATCTTCCCCATGCTGTTGCCACGCTACCTGGGTCCATGGCAAGTCTTAGATACAGTGAGTGTTGATCCCTTCGGTCCGTCGTATGTTATCGATATCCCGCTGCATCTACGCACCTACCCGGTCTTTCATGCATCCAAGCTGTTGCCTTTTACTCCAGCTGATGCATTCCCAGACCGGCCTCCTCAGTTTGGTCCACCAATCCCTGGCAAGGGATATGACGTGGAGTGGGTTGAGGACGAGTGGGGCACCGGCCCCGACCGACAGTATCTTGTGAGATTCACATTCCAACCTCCTTCTGAGAACAAATGGTTCTACAGGAGGGAACTTCTCAAGACAGCAAAGTCAGTTGTACTGCGATATGAAGCGGCTCAGAAGGGAAACCTTCCTTGCCGTTCAGCTCGCCTACACCCCTAGCTCGGAGGTCCTCGCTCCCCGGGGGGGTAAGCCTGCAATGACTTGCTGATTTCTACTGCCGAAATCGACTGCGAGGTTGTATAGTACAGCGGTAGGCTAGATTCGCAATTTTGTTTGGCTGAGGGCTAACCTAGAGACCTACCTGTGAGGAAATTCGTGAGGGACATATCTGCAAATTTGGGAAAATACAGCCCTGACACTAACTGAATTTCCTACTACTACCGTAGCTGCGAATAGCAGGCCCGGGCTACCCCTAGGACAGACAGGCCCTAAGGGCCTATGTTGATAGACGGTCTTATAGCCTATAGTCGGGTCCGGTAGAGGCCGAGAGGCTGAAACAGAAACGGTACCGGTCGGTCAATCAGTCCGGTCTAGGTCTACCGTAGTCTATAGATAAGTTAGGCCCATCGGTTCAGGACTTTTGGCAGTTCATTTCTCGCGAAGCAGCGTTGGAGAAGCCAAGCAAGTTGGTGGAGGTGATTGTCTGCAGGCGGCATCCCGAGACCTCGTTGTTCAACGCAACCATAGCCGGCCCAGTCTGAGCCTGCTAAGGCTGGGGCATCCTCAGCGCATTTACCCTCGGGGTAGATGGATCCGGTCGGGCTATACCGAGGCTCTACACTGTGTACTCGTGGGTGGTGGCAGCCATAGTTGCCTGTTCCTTCGTTACAGTTGTCCATCTACACTGAAGACTTCATCGCAGGACCTGTTCTTCATCAGGGTGGTTGGCGCTAGCCTCTGGGAGACTGTTCTGATGTGGCGCTACTAACTGGGTGTAGGATAGAGAGTGGGGTGTGAGTTCTGAGAGTGGCAAGATACTAGAACAAACTTTGTTACGATAATTGGTTGAGTGGTTCATCATCAGTGTGAATTTCAATTGTGATCCTCGCAGGTTCTTTCATGTGATTGGTTGTTGGGAGTTTCGTTAGAGAGTGAGAAACACTGTGTGTCTTATCCCCATCTGTGCATGATTGCCTTTCGCTGCCTATCTTCCCCTGTGTGCAGTTTGGACTCTGTCTCCTCTCTCCCCTTCTCTTATGCATGTATGGGCATGTATGAGACTGTCTGTGTGTGAGTGGCGATAAAATTCGTCAGACAACCAAGTTCATAACATGTGTGTGTGTGTGTGTGTGTGTGTGTGTGTGTGTGTGTGTGTGTGTTCGCGGGGGGGAGGCGAACCCCCCATTGCCAATCAATCAATCAATCAATCAATCAATCAATCAATCAATCAATGAATCAATCAACCAATCAATCAAACAATCAATCAATCAATCAATCAATCAATCAATCAATCAATCAATGAGTTAATCAATCAATAATTTTTTTTTTTTTCAACCGGAACCAAAAAAAAAAAATCTTTTTTTTTTTTCTGTTTTTTTGAATGGGGGGGTACCCCCTGACACCCGCCCCCCCCAGCCCATCCACCCCCTCAGCACCCCTCCGGAAGGCCGTGTACGGATGACCCGAAGTCCGTACGTACGGGCCGTACGGGCGCTAGGAGGTCCGTACGTACGGACGGGACGTATTAGTACGGCGGTATACACTGCCACCCTGTCCAAATGCCGAACTCATCTATCTGGAGCCAGATCCTCCTTCGATCTCTATGGCTTTCATCTCTGCTTCTCGCCCTCCGCCGTCCATCGCGTCCACCCTGCCGTCGCGTGCTGACGCTGACGCTGAGGAACTCACACGCTATATGACCGACCTGGAGCCCGCAGTTCATTGGCATGACCTCATTCGAGAGTACCACGACGTTTTTCCATTGTCGTTCTCATACGCCGGCATCCTGCAGAGATTCGATGTCGAGCATTCCATCAAACTTGTGCCTGACTATCGTGTTCACCACCAGGCACCCTACAGACTCTCGATCCCCGAGGCCACCGAACTCAATCATCAACTTGAGGAGCTCCTGAGACTGGGTTTCATTAAACCCAACAACTCCCTGTGGGGTGCACCCGTCCTCTTTGCTCGCAAAGCGGATGAAACTCTTCGTCTCTACATCAATTATCGTGGGCTCAACCGCTACACGATTAAGAATAGCTACCCCATGCCTCGTTCTGACGAGCTATTCGACCGCCTAGCAGGCAACCGCTTCTTTACGAAGATTGATCTTCCTAGCGGTTACCATCAGATTCGCATCGCTGCAGCGGACCAGCCGAAGACAGCGTTGCGATTATGCTTCGGTCACTATGAGTTTACGGTGATGCCATTCGGCCTCACCAACGCACCCGCTACCTTCCAGAGGGCGATGAACGACATCTTCAGGGACATCCTGGAGCAGTATGTTCTCGTCTACCTCGACGATATCCTGATTTACAGTCATACTCTTGAGGAGCATCTCAGACACCTCCGTGATGTCCTTGATCGCTTGCGCAGACATGGCTTCTACGCCAAGCTGAGCAAGTGCCGCTTTGCCCAACACAAAGTAGATTTCTTAGGATACGACGTGTCTGACCAGGGACTTCACATGGACGACGTGAAGATCACTGCTATTGCGGAGTGACCCGTTCCCACATCCGCCAAGCAGCTTCGCAACTTCCTAGGCCTCACTAGCTACTATAGTAACTTCATCCAGGGATACGCTAGGTAATCCTGCGTCCTTACCTCCACCCTCCTCTGAGAGAACCCACCATGGGTTTGGACACACCTCCACAACGACGCCTTCCACGCCCTCAAGAAGGCGGTGACATGTGCACCGGTTCTTCACTTACCCGATGACATGTGCACCGGTTCTTCACTTACCCGATTTTGATCGCCCTTTTATCCTTACCACCGATGCATCAGACTTTGCTGCAGGAGCAGTGCTTTCTCATATTTTCCCCTCCTCTGCTGATTCCTCTCACCCTCTCATCCCTCGCTTCCCACCTCCTACCCCTACTACTGTTTCCCGCCAGACGCCTACTCGTCCAACTACCGACGAGCCTTCTATTGACTATTTTCCTACCATCGCCGAGGACGTCACTGTCAAGTCTCGCTCAGGTGATTGTCTAATAGCTTTTTACTCCCGTCAGCTTCTGCCCACCGAGATAAACTACACTGCTGATGAACGTGAGGTCCTAGCAGTAGTTTATATTGCTCAGCACTGGCGTCATTACCTGCATGGAGCACCATTCACGGTGGGCACAGACAACTCTGTTGTCCAGACTTTTCTGACAAAGCTGAAACTCACTCCTCGACAGCGACGACAGGCTCGTTGGTGGCGCGACCTTTCCGAGTTTAGTTTCACCACTGAGCACATCAAGGGTGAAACTAATCGGGTCGCAGATGCCTTATCCCGACGCCCTGACCATGATCTGGAGCAGATCCAGCCTATGAAGCAGTAACAAAAAACTTAGCAAAAACACCAGACTCGAAAAAAGTTTTGGCGAACTCCGAAAGCTACTCCGAATAGGGACTTATAGTGCTCTTGAGTTTGATTTTTTCATTTTTTCTTTACCAGATTGTTTTTTTGATGTTTGTATTATGACCCTGCACAGTTCGTTCGCAAAAATTTCGACAACATTGCTTGTAGCGACGTGGCGAAAAACCTCGAATTTTTTGCCTTCCACTAACCGCTAGTGCCACGGTCGGGGCCGCGGGGCCGCGGTCGGTGAAGGCCCGCTGCGGGCAGGGGGGGAGGGGCGACCAAAGTTGGGGTCGGGATTCCCGGGGCGCGACTCGGGCCCCACCCACCCATAAAGAAAAAAATTGAAAAACTTGAAAAACGGGGGGGTCTAAATAGGGGGGTTTTAGATGGGGGAGAAAAAAATCGTGGACCTTTTTTTTTTTTTTTCCTTTCTATTGAAAAGTCCGCTGTTGTGTGATTTTTTTTTTTTTTTTCTTCCTAATTGATTGATTGATTGGTTGATTGATTGATTGATTAATTGATTGATTGATTGATTGATTGATTGATTGATTGATTGATTGATTGATTGATTGGTGGGGAAGGAGTCACCCTTCCCCCACGCACACACACACACACACACACACACACACACACACACACACACACACACACACACACACACACACACATGCGTGCGCGCACGCGGACATGGATTGTTTTGCTTGTTTTTTTTTTATTTATTTTTATTGATTAATTGGTTGATTGATTGATTGATTGATTGATTGATTGATTGATTGATTGATTGATTGATTGATTTGTGGGGAAGGGGTCTCCCTTCCCCCCCCC